TGGACGTCTGACTCAGCTCAGCTTGCCTGCCCCGGCCCAGCCACCTCCCGGTCCAGCCTTCTCCCAGCCTTGCTCAGCCCCGTCTCCCGCTGCCGCCCTCCCCAAGCCTTCCCCCGCAGGCCACCCCCTTTCTGGACTCCTGCACCCCACATCTTGCACTTACCTCCTCAGGCCCTCACCAGCCTCCACCTCTCAAACTCTTGAGTCAACCGAGTTGCCTTCTACCCAATCCCATCCCATCCCCTTACCTGGGCTGCATCTACAGCTTCCCCTACTCCCGGGGGACTCAGGCTGCCCCACCCCATTCCTTTCTCAGATCCCACCTGTCCCCCCTCCCCTAGCTCCCAGTCTCTGCCCTTCCTCCACCCCTGCACTCCCGTTTGAAGCCCTAGGAAGCCATCCTCAAGCCTCCAGACCCCCAGGTTCCCTCCTGCAACCTCCGGCCTCAAGCTGGCCCCTTCTCCTGCACAGCTACCCCGGCCTCCCACCCTCCCACTTAGCTATCCTTCCCCTTCTTCTGGGTCTCCTGGATCTGCCCTCTCTTCATTCTCCAGCCTTCCAAGCTCTCCACTCCATGCTTTGAGGGTTCTGAAGGATTCCTGCCCACAAGCCCACCTGTCCTCAGGGTCCCCTATTCCCCTGGGCCCAGGGCCCTACTCACCTGATGGCAGGCGCAGGACACACAGACACAGGGACTAGATGGGCAGGTGGCTTCAAGGTTGGGTGTAGCTTAAGCCAGACCCTGGAGTGGGAGGGGGCTGCGTGGGCGTGGATAGTCCCTCCCTGGCCCGCACCCCTGGGCTGCAGCCTCAGAAATGTGTAGAAGTCTGGCCAGTTTGTTACCTGGAGCAGGGGGAGAAATCCAACCAGCCTCCCTCGCTCCTCCCTGTCTCTCTCCCTGGCAGTCACTGGCAGGTCCAAGGGATCTTGGACCCAGAGCTGGGGGAGAGGGCGGGGACTGTGTCCTTCCCAGTCACACACACACACACACACACACACACACACACACACACACACACACAGCTCAGTGGGGCTGGTTCACTCCATGTCACCTGTAATCATACTCCCACAAAGATGTACTGTACTTAGAAACATACATCAGAGACCCAGGCACAAGTTCAGCTTCCCTCAACACGGACACACACCAGCTAAATGCAGACACCATCCAGAGCTCAGAGAGTCTTCACACACAGCCACACACCACCCCCACAGAGGGA